AATAAAAACAACGTTAACGTCATCATCAGCAAACAGATTCACTTTGAACATACCAAGCGATTTTGTGTTTAATAGTGAAATGAATAATATTAAATGTGAAATGTGTCTAACAATAGTCTAAAAAATAGACTAGTCATCAAAATAGACAGATCAGACTTCACAAGTGTAGTCATTCATTTCTGTGTATTGAACGACTAGTCTCTTTTTGGACTATATATTATTTGCAAATTTAGTCTTGTTTTACCCAAGACGTCTGTGTTTAGATCCCTATTAAACCAATAAAAGATTGCTGGGAATGTGTTTGTTTTACCTAAAAGTGTATTTTTGGAGGTCAGACTCATAGAAATGTGTACTTTACAAGCTAAACATATTATTGCTCTTAAAGGGAAAAAACTATAATTGAACCTAGAATTGGAAAGCGGATTAAAGAAATGGCGTCACACATATGTCAATAAAAAAGATCACATACATTGTCAAAAAGAAACAAAATGTGTTTGAAGATATCTGGAGACCTTTTAATAATGTTCTAAAGTACTATGCAAATGTTGGCAGTCTGATATAATAAGAACAAGCTCTGAGGGAGTAGGGTAGTATCATGGTCTAAACATAGACTTAGGAAACACTGATTTAAACATATCCCTCTTTTTGTTTTGTTCTGTTCTTGTGTTTTTTTAATAGGGGTTGATGGGAGGGAGAATAGGGTGTAAAATATTTGCTGTTTCTACACAACTATTAGTCTGTAAATGTGTGATCTGTTGTGATATACAAAAAAAAGTAATAAATATTTTGTACCAATATAATAATTTTCTGTACCTAATGACCGTTGAGATGGAAGTTGGGGTCGATTTGGAGGTTTTAGGGCTGGTGGATGTGGGATGCCATTGGCGAGTTCCTTCCGAGGAATATGCAAAGAAAAGCACTCAGTATGTTACTACCAATAACAACTTCATTTCAGATGCTGAACATCAGAGATTAAAGAACAAGGTCACTGTAACAACAGCGTGTCAAGTAAGGATGCAGATGCACTTTCTTGTTCAATTAAACATCACATCCCTGGCAGAAGTGGTAACAAGCAGCTGTAAACTTTTTATTTTCATGATTGCTTTTCGTTTCCTTAATATTAGATTGGAATCGACAATGTGTGCAGAGGCAGAGTGCTGCCTTTGCCAAATCACTGTGGATTGCAGAGTGTGTAAGCATATTTTTAAACTGGAATTAAAAAGCTTTTAAAGCTGTCTGCATCCATAAAGTTCTGCATTTAACACCATCTCGACATATTTAGGAAGCCAGGATAAGCCTTGGCAAATAAAACTCAAACTCATAAAGCATATGGGAAATGAAAAGGTTTATAAAAGGAGGTTAAAAAATAGAACACTTACAATTCGCTTGTTTTTACCCTTGTTTTTCTTGCCCATCGGTTCAAGCAGGAAATTGGGAACCAGGCCTCTCTGACATTTAAAAAAAAAAAAAATCTGTTATTCTTTTTTTTTTTTTTAAATACAATTTTATTGAACTTTTTTTTTCTAGTGCAAAACATGACAACACACATTTTATGAGTAATAATATCATTTCCATCTCCTCCCCCTCCTATAAATCCTCCCCTTATACAAATAAAATAAGGGCATGTACATTCAACTTTAATATGTACACTGAATACTGAAGTATTTTACAAAAAGACAGATTACATCTCTTTTATCCAGGCTTAGTCTAAGAGACAAGCTTTAAGCCTTAGAGACATTCTAGATCCCAGATCCGGTAAAATATAAAAAAGGTTTGTTCTTTAAAGCTGAGACAAAGCCTCAAGTACACTCAAAAATGATTCAAAGACGATTCCTCGGATTTACTTTTTTTTTTTTTTTTAAGTTAAGTGGTTGTCAACAATTTATTTGGGCTGAATTTAAACAAGCAAATTAAGTTAAACATAACTAAATTGAACACAAATAGTTTGCAACAATTTTGCAGACATCATTTTTTCAGTGTAGGATAATGCTAAACTATATGTAGCGGTTGAATCAAACTAAGGGGTTCTTAATTAATCCACCTTTCAACAATACTTTTACGAACAGAGTAAAGCAAAAGGTCTCTGTTCTGACAATATCAAAGTATATCGCCATTTAGATGCAGTAAGCAAGTCCTTAGCTTTAATGAAATGTACATTTGAAAATGGCTATATGTGATAACTTATATTTTTATATCACTCATTTTTACTCTTGGCTTTGTAAATATCTATAATTAGAAAGTGAGACTCTTCCACATTCTTCTACAGCAAATCCTTAGTCATTTTTCCTTAAAATTTTGCAGTGAAATATTATCCCACCTTTCCATCATAAATGATCACTGCCAGTCCATCTCTGTCATCATCACTATACACAAACACTTCTGCTCCAGCGGGCACCGTCAGCTCCCCTGCTCCTTTAGCCACATACGCACTCTTCATTATCATGTAACGAGAGTCTCTACGCAACAATAAATACACAGCTTAATTAGAAAGGAATTTCATTGGCATAAAATAAAACAAATCACCTTAGTGTATTCTGCCATAAATTTTTACTCACCCTTGGCTTGTTTCAAACCAGTTTGAGATTTTTTATTCTGTTGAACACAAAAGAAGATATTTTGAAGAATGTTGACTTCCATGTTGATGTATTTACTGTCACAGGTTACCGGTTTTTAGTCATTTTCAAAATATCTTTGTGCTCAACAGAACAAAAATTCACATTTGCAGGTAAGTGAGTCAAGGGTGAGTAAGTAGCTATGTTTCCCATCAAGCTATTTTTATGCGCATTTTAGAATATTGCATTAAACATGCTTGAGAACATGCTTGAGAAATGTCAAGAAATGCATGAATTTTAAAAATGCTCAGTGGGTTAAACTTTTTATCTAATAAGAAAAAAAAAATGTGCATCAACTACCCTGGAAACCCTTTTACTGAATAATTCCAGTATATGCACATCAAAAAAAGTCATGTGATTTTGTTTTTGACATCATGTAATAACAAAGATGGGCATAATAGGACAGCATTAATGGATAAACCAATGGACCACATTGTAATACATCTCATTTGACTCACTGGACAGAAATTGTGATTTATTTGCAAATGTTTTATGCAATATTCCAGTTTTATGCATAAATCTAATTTACAGCTTTCCATAGAAACATAGCTAATGATGGCTGAATTTACATTTTTGGGTGAACTGCCCATTTAAGCTGGCCTTGATACAGTCTAGTTTAATATTATCTGTACACTGAATACGTACTGGCCATCTTCAACCTTTGGCTCATAGTAGCCCGGTTTCTGCAGAAAAATACATAATCAGTGGAGTCTTGTTAGAAATTAGAAGACATGAATAAACTAAAACGTTAAGCGTGTAACATGACAGGTGTTGTGTGTACCTGTGGTCTGAGAGGGTCGAAGCCTCTGAAGTCATCATTTGGAATCATAGAAGTGATGACCTGAGATAAGAGTTTAGTTTCAGAGAACATGATTCAGATTGGTTGTATAGTGCTTGTCGTGCTGATGATTTATGTGTATTTATATGAACTCAAATGTTTGCTATGCAATCAATCAAACAGTTCAAAAGTGGTCATCAATGTGGTTTCAAATTTACTGAAATTAAGAAAACAAAAACAAACACTCAAATAAGCTGAAAGTAAATTAAATATCTATATGTAGTAGTGGTTTTAAAGTACATTTAAAAACTATTTATGACCTTTGACTCATGCAAAGAACATTTTATTATTAACTTGAGAACACAATATGTTATTGTATTAATAAAAAGCTTAAGGTTTGAATGACTCAAACATCTCAGAATATGGAAGTAGCTTTTACTGTACTTTCTGCAAAAGAAAAGGTTTGTTCTTAGTATTTTTATGCTTTTCATTTTTTATTGTAAACTCAAATACATAAATGTAGGAAGTTACATGAGATAAGCAATCTTGTTTTTAGTAAAAATGATCAAAATGAAGCAAGTTTATAAACAAACAAAATATTTGCTTAAATGAACTTCAATTGAACAAAAAAAATAACCTTCATACCCAATAGATAGATATTTGTTCTTGTTAAAAGACTAAACTTGCTTACCTTTGTTCAATTTCTAAGAAAGCTAAGAAGAATTATTTCCATTTTGCATCTCAAATACATCCACTTTGTTTCTAAAGATGTTTAGATATGTGCTTAAGAAAACATAATAAAGTTTCCCAAGAGGAGGTCCTGCTCTCAACCGCTGATGATTGTCTTACATAGTTCAGGGGACACAAACATTAATTATCTCTAATTTATAAAAGGTTATTTGCAGCTACTGCCCCCGCTACAAGGATGATCAGAGAAAAATGGGAAAGAGAGATTGGCATCGAAATTTCAAAAGAGATTTGGTAGAATAGCTTGATAAACAATCAATCAATGCTAGATTATGCCTCATCCAGTTCAAGGTCCTATAGGCTACATTTCTCCAAAAAGAAATGACATAAGATTTTCCTCAGTATGTCTCCCATTTGTGATAAGTGCAAATGCTGATTTAGCTCATAGTTTTATATTCTGTTGTAAAATACAGGAATTCTGGAATGAGGTTTTTAAAGTGCTTTCAGGTGTTCTTGATCAACACGTAGATCCTGACCCAATGCTTATTATATTAGTACATTCTGATAGTACATATTCATTGAGCAGTGCACAACAGAAATTCCCTGCATATTGTTTGATTACAGACAAAAAGCTGCCATTATTGTACTGGAAAATGTTAATCCTCCAGCTGCCAAACTATGGCTTGAAGAATTGATATCTACTCTGCACCTGGAATGAACCAGATATATATTAAAAAGGCAACATTGGACAATTTCAGAGGATGGGGCCCTTTCTTTTGTCCCTTCATGGGGAATTCTTCTCCCCAAAGCAATCTATTGTAACTTTTTCAGTTACAATACATTGCTTTGGGGAGTTGTTTTGATTATTGCAGTATTGTATACTCACAGGCTGGGCTTGGAGTGTTTGTTTTTGTTTTTGTTTGTTTTTGTAAATGTACGTTATTTCAGAAAACTAATCCTGGAATCTGTGAATATTGTAAGTTTATTCAACGACCAAATAAAAAAACTTATTTGACGAAAAAGAAAACAAAATAAAGAGGAAGATAATATATAATAACTTATATCTTTAGGTAATTGGAAAAGACAAAAGTGCAGAGAGCTGAAGGGCAAAACATTGAGACCCCTTTACTTGGTGCATTCCCTTTCTTATCGTATATTGTCTGTAATAATTGGTTTTGAACATTTATATTTATCCAGTATTCAAATTCCGCACTTGAACAGGCATTAAAACTGCAATACAGCGTGAAGATTTGAATCACCTTTGCTTCACCCAAGAAGTCCCTCGGTTTTAGCTGGTCCACCTCAAGTTTCCTAGGACGAAACACTTCACCCTCAGGAAGCAGAAGAGGCTCCAAAACATCCTTCCTCTGAAATGCCATTGACAGAATCATTAAGTGAGTTCAATGTTCAGTGATACTTTATTTTTTTTAAATGCAATCAAAAGGTTTCTAAAACGTACAGAAATAGCCTCTAGGGCCGTGTCTATCAGGTTGCTCCGGCCTGCTCCTCTCTCCTGTGAGGCCGCCAGCAAAATGTCCCTGGCTTTGTCCCATTGTTGCAGTCTAGAGTGAACGGCTGCTGCATTATAAAGCACCTAATAAACACACACAAGCACACACACATACACTGTAAACAAAAGTTGAACACATTACATGCCATAACAATAAAGATTTAGATAATATTAATGAATTTAGGGTCAGTAAGTTTTTTTTCTTATTAAAACAGTAAGCTTTTCTTCAGCAAGGACACATTTAACAGATCAAAAGTGTAATTTGCTGTATAACATTACAAACTATTTATCTTTAAAATAATTTAATAGTTGATCTGTTGAACTTTATCTACAAATTCTGAAGAAAAAAAAAGTTAACACTTTTTACTCAAATTTACAACATGAACAAACAATTTATTTATTGATGTTAGTGAAAGTACACAATTGTTAATTTTTAGTTTTTGTTAACACTTCGGGATCTATTTTGACGATTCATGCGCAAAAGTGCAAAGAGCAGGACACAAATGCATTAAGGCCGTGTCAGAATCCACTTTTGCTATTTTAAGGACGGAAAAATCTGCTTTGCGCCTTGGCGCATGGTCTAACAGGGTTGAGCTTATTTTCTTAATGAGTTATGGGTGTTTTTTGAGAATAAACCAATCAGAGTCTCATCTCCCATTCCCTTTAAGAATCAGTTGCATCGCGCCATAGCGCATTTGCTATTTACTTTGTAAGTGGAAAAACTGAGCACTTCCCTAGCAATAAAACAGTTAAAGAGAGCATCTACAGCGAGAGAATGAGAGATGAGCCTCCTCATTGTTTACTTTCACTTTCACTCTCATGGATAGGGAAAGGTGTTGTACCCACTGACATCAATTAGCCTATAAATAATTAATTTTATTTGTTAAGCGCAAAGATTTGTTTCAAAACTATTGCTAAATTCAGTTCTAATTTTTAGCAAACTAATAATAACGAAGTGTGGTCAAACAACTGAGTTCTATCTAAATACACATGCTGCACCCCATATGGTCCTAAACCTGAGAGATGGGCAAATCTAAGCTTGTTTTTAATAAAACAAATAAAAATATGGATATAATAAATAATACTACAACTAATAATAACATTATACAAAAGCAAATTGTTATGAATAAACTGAAAAAGCTCTGATCTGGTCTATTGAACAGACTATTGAGTTCCCTAAAATAGCAACCCGCCAGCAATGCGCCTCAACATGCCTCCTTTTTTTAGACCAGAACGTCTACGGGTGCACATATGAGCGCAAATGCATTTGCAATTTAAACAGCATGGTGCAAAATGTCAAAATGATTCTTGCGCCAAGCTGAAACTAGCAAACAACAATTGCGCCGCGCTTCGTGCCGCATTGCGCCGGGGGTATGACAGGGCCCTTAGTGTTAACCATAGTTAATTGTTAGTTGTAGGGATGTCCAGATCTCATCACGTGATCGGTAATCGTGCGGCATGACATCACTTTGTTGCATAGACACTATTGGTTAAATGCTGGCAAAATAGAACAAGGAAGCAGCTTGAAGCTGAAAGTGCGAGTATGTCTGCAGTCTGGAAGTACTGTAAAATTGATGACGACAACATTGCCATAGCAAACTGAAGAATTGATGTTATTTATTATTTGATTGTTCAAGCTACCTCACAGAAGTGCTCGGTTTGTTAGCGGAGTTGTTGAATGTTAAAATAAGGTGAATTAAATAAAAAATAAGGAACATGCTGGATCTGTTTCTTCGCTCTTCTTTATTCTTTTTTATGTATTATAGAAGTATTGGATCGGGTTTCCGTATCGGTAGATAATCAAATGGCTCGGATTAGAGAGCAAAAAAACTAAAAAAATAACTAAAGTTAATACACGGCTGTCTCAGACAGTCGATTCTAATTGGTCAATCAAAAATATATTGTTGCCAAATAACAACCATTAAACAAGTGCATATATTCAAATCCATATAGTGTACATCCACATTTAGATTGGCTTGACTGTCATGCCGACTGTTTAGCGCCATCTTATTCCATGAGCTGTTTCTATTTCTGACAGCTTTGCGTTTAACGAAAGAATAAATAAGTTTTATAAAATATTACAATGTTTGAGGCTGTGGGGCTTTATTCTGCGATAACAGCCTCCTGGATGTACTTTAAACCAAACAAAATGTGTTTGTAAATGACATGATTAATAAATTCTGTACGTTACAGTGTTCATGTAATAAATACATTAACTAACATTAACTAATGGAATTTTATAGTAAAGTGTGATTAAGATGTCAGCATAGCTTGCATGAAAATATCAATTTAAAATTACTAGCATTTTTTATTCATTCATTCATTTTCTATTCGGCTTAGTCCCTTTATTAATCTCGCCTCGCCACAGTGGCCAGCATATGTTTTACGCAGCAGATGCCCTTCCAGCTGCAACCCATCACTGGGAAACACCACACTCTCATTTACACACATACACTATGGATAATTTAACTTACCCACTTCACCTGTACCGCATGTCTTTAAACTAGTGGGGGAAACCGGAGCACCTGAAGGAAACCCACTTGAACATGGGGAGAACTTGAAAACTCCACACAGTAACAACAACTGATCCAGCCAAGGCTCGAACCACGGATCTTCTTGCTGTAAGGCGACATCGCTAACCACAGACAAACTGCGCCACCCCACTAGCATTTTTATGTAATAAAATAGGCTTTATCTCACAAGGATGAGTTACAGAAAAAAAAAAACATTTTATTATTTTACATTTTTTAAATATTCAAAAATATCAGCAATTTTTTTGTACTTTTTTTACATTTACATACAGCCTCCATCAGAATGACACTAGATTAAAAAACATAAATATAACGCAAAACCTTTTAAATGCATACAAATATTTGCTAAAGTTCATTTTATAAATATTACAACATTCTTGAAACTTTTCAAAATAAATAATGTCCTTGAACACAAACCTCTATTCTATCCGCCTGCTCGAGAGTAATGAGGCTGTATCTCTATTAATCTTCCAGCACATCATGTAAACCATACCAGTAGTAGACATTCAACATAACTAATCATGAGCAAGTGGTGCAGATTTTGCATATCAAATACTGCACTGACCTTATAAAGTAATTCTATAATACCTCTCAAGTAGACATACTCAATTTTTCAGCAAACACGCTTTTGAGGAATACAAGGTTGATTCGCTTGCTCAGGTTTAACCAGGCAACCGAGGAATGCTGGATATGTCTTATCTTCTTTCACTTTGGCATTTGACATTGCATAACCATGAGCTTTTTCACTCAGCCCTCAAAGAGGCCTTGTGATGACTATCAGCGCAGGTGAACTCCACCGACGTTCAGGTTTGATGGCAGAGCTGACACAAGGCTCCATTGGAAATGTCAACAATTTCCTGACTTTTAATAAATTGCAAGTCAGGAAAGTTGTGTGCTAAAACATGCACACTAAATTCATTGTTAGAAGGTCAGACAGGTTTTTTTTTTTTTAAGAAAAAGGATTGCAAGTGTTAAAAGATTGAAGTAATTTTTTATAGATCACGTAAAAAGAATTCACTATATTCTTTTTCAAATATTTCCTAAGTGCTGTTTAACATAGCAATTACATTTTTACACAATTTTCTATATTTTTTCTTCTAAAGGAAGTATTATTTATTTTATTTTTTCTGGAATAAAAGCAGCTTGAAATATTTTGGATACAACATTTATTTTGCAACAAAACAAACCAAACCAATCAGGGTGGACTTAATCAATAAGAAGGGTAAGCAGCCACTTAGGGCCCCAGGGAATTAGGGGACCCTAACCAATGCCAAGAAGCCAATATTAATCATATTGCTCTTTTATACATTATCATATGTTGTAAAATCTGTTCATAACAATTAAGATTTTAACGATATTACTTATTTTCAAAACCAGGGGCACCCATAAATAATGGAACATTCCATTCATTCTGCATACGCGCGAGGTGTGAGCACTTCGATCAAAGAAACTGCCAGCCAGTGTTGCCAACTTTGCAACTTTTCAGACCACCTTAGCAAATGTTTATGTGTTACTGGAGATTTTTAAAGATTCTTACATGTCCATGCTGTACTGTTCCTAACGTTACTTTTCGCAACGAGCTGCAGGCGATGCAGTTTTTCTCTTCCCTGCCTCAGAGTACTCAAAGGGGGCACAGTGCCACACAGCTGTCTCTCCCACCTGCAGCATTGAGACCAGATCATTCCTCTGCATACTGATGGCAAATATTTCAGCAACGCGAGCGTGAGGTATTTCCCTGGTACAGTCAAGCCGATCAGCTTCTCCTTTGTTTTAAATATAATAATTTTAATGGACCATTTATTATTTTTCGGCTGTTGTTCACAAACATAGAGATTTTAGCGACACCAGTCGCCAGTCACATACGGTGTGTATATGTATGTATATGGCCCCCAAATCATCAAATCCGCCCCTGAAACCAACTTGTTGAAAAAATATTCTTTCAGTGTTTAATAAAATAATAATAGAAATAAACATTTACAGTGGGGCTAATAATTTTGACTTCAACTGTGTGTGTATGAATACACAAATAAAAAAATTAAATTAAATATAACATAAAACATTCTTTAACATAATAAAGAATGAATACACAAACAATATTAGTCTTGAGCTTTTTTCATTAAAAAGAATGTTAATTCTCTGATCTCCTTTAAAATGCAAATCGGAAATGTTCAGTGTAAAAACACTCACAATTAATAAAGAAAAACACTTGGAAATATGTGTAACCCACTGGTCATACTGCACCCAACCCAATCTGAGCTATGATCGAACCGGCAATTCTTTGCATGGGACCCGAGGCTAAAAACCATGGCTTCTAGTCTCTGTCGCTAGAGCAACTTTAGAAGTCAGAGGAGTGAGGTTTACCTGCATAGCACTTCGCTAGCTGGACTCTGTTACACTCACCCCCCTAAACCTTACTCCCATCCAGGACGAGCCCCCATGTGTAACCCACTGGTCATACTGCACCCAACCCAGTCTATGCAGTGAATGAACCGGCGGTTCTTAGCATGGGAGTGGGTTACCCTAACAAGGACACTAAAAACCATGGCCTCTAGTGTCTGTCGCTAGAGCATCTTTAGAGGTCAGAGGAGTGAGGTTTACCTGCAAAGCACTTTGCTAGCTCGCCTCCGTTACACTCATCCCCCTAAACCTATCTGCCTTCCCGGATGAGCCCCCAAGTGTAACCCACTGGTTCTACTGCACCCAACCTGGTCTGAGCTGGGGTCGAACAGGCAGTTCTTTGCATTAGAGTCTGTTGTTCTAACACTTTTAGAAGTGAGGTTTACTTGCATAGCACTTCGCTAGCTGGCCCCTGTTACATATGTTACACAGTTACAAAATTGTCCATATTCAACAAGATTTGGGAACCATTCATATTATTTTTGCAGATAGACTGTACTGCTAGATTTTTTTACAAGACTATTGTGGTAATTAATTAATTAATTAATTTCATTATTTATTTTACAATAATCTTGGTTTCATTGTCCATGTACACCTTGCTCCAATTTTAAATGTATAAAAAAATCTAATTTAAAAAATTCCATATTATGATTGAAAATGTAATTCATCAATGCCTATTATTTAATTTATATGAACCTTCCATAAATATTTTGATCGATGTTAGATAGGTGGGGTGCAAGGTAGGGTTTTGAGTTCCTTTTTGTAGTAAGCTACATTCACTGTGAGTACTTACAAGAAACTGAGCATATATCAAAGTTCTCTTGGAAGTATTTAGGTGGTACTATATGTGTAAAGGTTTTTTTTTTTTCAATGAAAAATTTAAATAAAGAGTAAAAAAAAAAAAACATCATGTTTTATCTCATATACTCTTGACAGAAGTACACTTATGCTCTGACCTGCCAGCTGTAGAGTTTATAGCGAAGACCCAGCTGCTTGTAGTCAATGACAGGGTTTTCCCTCATGTATTTCTGAGCCCAAATACAATCAGACAATGCCTCCTCAAGCCTGGCATTAGAAAAAATGACAGAGACAGAAAGAGAAAGAGACCGAGACAGTGAGAGAGCAAGAGAACAAAGAGGCAGTGTCAGATGAAAGTGAATCAGCTGTCCAGAACATCAGCTTTATACAAAAGAGGTCAATGTTTGTGTTGCATCAAGCACGATAGCCGACTCACACATAGAAAGCTACAGTGGAAAAACAGAGAAATCTCACCTGTTTGCCATCATATGAACGGCAGACCGCTGAAAAAATCCCACAGCAAGGCATGAGTCCTTGGCGATTACTCGGTCGAGAGCCTGAAAAACATAATTTGACATTGTCAGGCACATAAAATTCCACTTTTTGTTTGACACATTTTATTTTTCTACAGTTTTTCTAGTTTTTACAATTGTCATAGTCCTATTAAATTGTAATTTGTATAACAATGATATATCATTATCTCATGCAAGTACTCATAATTTTAAAATCAATTATTATGCATATTACAATATCGTAAACTAACCACCATTATTGCTCGTTCTTTTCTCTTTGTAGGCCTAAGTAGTTAGTGTATTTTCTTTCCTTTTATAAATGTTCTCCTGACTATGTTTCTATATTTTCATCACTTACTGGGGGAAAAACTGTTACCATTAATATGAAACAAACATTCTTCATTTAAAAAGAATTCAAAACACAAAATCAGCTTTTTAAAAATAAATCACTGCAAAAAAAAAAATGCTGTCCTTTTGTCAACGTCTTTTAGTCACCATCTAATTGTTCCAACATAAGCTCATTCTGAATACGTACAGCCCTACTGTATATACGTTTCTGGAGATCACAAATTATGTGGCCAGAGCTACGTGTGGCTGCATTTCTTCTTTAAAACGAATGCTACAGGGCGGTATGACATCGTTCCTTTTCTTGCTTAACAGCGTACTTCCAAATTTCAACTGTTACCAGTTTGTCTGGTAGCTTGACACGTACATCGGTGGACTTGAGATGCAAGGCGGAGTTGACCGCGACGGCAGGGTTTGTTTCAGAAAGCAGGTGAGGCATTAACAGAAGCCAAAAAGTAAAATAAACAAGTAAATAACAAGGTGAGAAAATGGTAAATCTAAAAATGTTGTAAAAATCAGGCGAGGGCTTTCCTTTTTCTGGATTGCTTTTTAAAACACTGTGGTTGGGTTTAGGGAAGTGGGTAGGTGGGTCAATCAGTGCTTTTAAAAATACTATTGGTTGGGTTAAGGTAAGGGGCAGGGTAGGGATATCAGTTGATTGGTCAGTCAGTAAGTCAACAACGGCCTCTGGTGGATTTAAGTGAAAACAGCAGGCGTGAATGACACTCGTGGGAGAAATACAACATCTGAAAAAGCACACACACAGGCCTCTGGCAGAGTCGCCGAAACAAAAACTTCAAAAAACAAAGGTACCTCCTTGGATGTATTTGTATTTTTGCTTTCTTCAACAATAAGGGTACGTAATCAGAATGAGCCTAGGTTGAACTGTTCCAAACCTTTACGATTTTCTTTCTTCTGTTGAACAAATACTTTTAAGTATGTTGTTAATCAAACAGTATTTTTTCTCCCATGGCAGTAACTTATATTAATGAACACTTTGGTATACCAAAATATCTTCTGTGGTTAAACAAAGAATAAAATCCATACAGAGCCTGAGTAAATGATTAGTTCATTTTAATTTTATAAGTACTTTTAATTGTATTTTTGAGATAATAATTTTTTACCCCCAAATTATTTTTATACTTTGAAATTAAAAGTGAAAATTAACTCAAATAATTTCTGATTGTGTTACTATGTTGGATTTTTCCAAAAAATTGTACTTGTTTAACTTTTTAATCTAGCAAAAATATAATGATAAGTTGACAGTTCAAAATAAAGTGGTTAAAAAAACTTTCAAGGGAGAGTTTACACAAGAAGAAACATTTACTCACGTGGTTCCAAACCTTTTTTAGTTGCTTTATACTGTTACGCATATTTTGAAAAAACCTGAAAACTTGTAACCATTAACTTGCATAGTAGAAAAAACAAACACCACAGAAGTCAATAGCAACTGGTTTCCAACATGCTACAAAATATCTTCTTTTGTGTTTGACAAAAGAAAGAAACTCAAACAGGTTTGGAACAAGTACAGGGGGAGAATTTGAGAGAACATTTGAGTTCAGTTTTGGATGAACTACCCCTTTAATTAAATAAACAAGTGAAATAAATAATAAAAAAAAAATGAAAAAAAAATACAACAACTGATGAAATAAATAATTCAATGTAACAGAAATGTAGTAAAACGTTATAGAATAACAGTAAAACAGAACAAAAAAATAAACAAACAAAATAAATAAAAATCCAACTTAAAATTTACACCCATTTATCAACTTAAATGATACATTTTACACTAAAAACTAGGTCTTTATACATGTAAACTGCCTTTTAAAATTTAAGATGGTGGTCTTGCATCTTAAAGTCTAAAACCCCCTGAATAACACAAATGCAGTTTACCAACAAACAAACAGATAACTGTTTAGTGTCATTGATATCAAACAATTCTATGACAGTTCGTGTAGCTTGTACCTTAATGGCCAAATCCACTTGACCCAGGGCGATGTGAGTGGACGCAACCACAAACATAGTGCGACAGTTATGATCCGTGATCTGGTTGAGTTTACTGAGAGCTCCCTGCCAGTCCCGAATGTCTATTGCCTTTACGGCCTCATCCCACAGGCGGATCAACTCGATATACAGCATGGCTCTAGAGCAAAACACAAATAATCAAACATTATTTTTATAACGCTACACAAATTCAAAAAGAGGTTAATAAATCATCATCAAGCTGTACTGATAAAACATTATTCTTCAGTCACTAATGAATGTAAGAATAACAGCTGTTACAAATACAAGTGAGACCAGCTATGCAGGTTCTTGTTAGTCAATAAAACCATGAAAGGAAAGCCCTGTACACTAATACAATGACTGACACTTACCACTGCACACAAAACAAACAGAAATAAGTCAAGAACTCAATTTGCTTTCTAGAAGTGATTGCTCGTGAATATCAGAGCAGCTCCTGAACAGGTGTATTTAAGCGTGGGCTCTTAGGGAAGTAATATTTGTAGTGTGACACACATCTGTGGTGCCGCCCAGTTTCAGTGCCATCAGGAAGTCCAGCATTCCCTGAAGAGAGAGAGAGAGAGAGAGAGAGAGAGAGAGAGAGAGAGAGAGAGAGAGAGAGAGTGCTGTTGAGTCACAGATGAGGCACGTACACAATGGCTCAATTAAATAAGAAGGTGTTGAGTAAAGGAAATGGAAGGGCAGAGCACATACTAATGTCTTCAGTGTGCTGTAAAGGTTTACTGGCCAAGTGTTTCAAGACCAGGAAGCATTTAGTGTTCACCTGACATTTATTGTAATGGGGAAAAAGTAAAAAAAAAAAAAAAAAATGACTGGAGGGAGGAAAGTCCAGCGTTGCTCTACTGTAATTTATTATATGACTACATGTAATATTTTTTGTTGATTAAAAAATCCCCAACATTAAAATTCTGTCATCATGTCTTCATTTGTTCCAAATCTGTTGCAGTTTCTTCTGTTCATTTCAAAAGAAAATATTTTTAAAGAAGGTTTAAAAAAAACTGGTTGATGTTGACTTCCTTTTTTTCCCCTATACCGTACTATACTGTACAACATAAGTTAATAGTTGGTGGTTTCCAGCCTTTTTATAAAACTTTTTTTGTGTTCAACAGAAAGTAGTAACTTGGTATGCCACGATTGAATGAATGATGAGAAATGTTGTAATTTTTTGGATGAAATATCCCTTTAAAAGAAAGTTTTTTTTTTTTTTTTTTTAAGAAAAAAGGTTAAAACATAGTAAACTTACTTATTAACACAATTACTTAACCATTTAACTGCCCCAAGGAAAAAATGATTGCATTTCTTAACCCCTTATGTTAGTTAACACACTCAATTAATTCTTTTTCAACACATACCATAATTTCTAAAATATCAGGCTCTCCCAAATGGTTAATACATCGGTTTATCGTAAAAGTACCAGAATTTATACATATATATGAAAATCTGAAAATATTAAGTGTAAGACCAATTTATTTAAAACATAATTTTTTTGAAGTATGCCATAAAATATTTTAGATTCTCATTTAACACTTTCTAGTTATTTACAAAAGCCAAAGTCAACTGTGCAAAAAGTGCAATAGGATTATGTTTGTTTGATTTTTTGTAAACCAACAATGCTGTGTGTGTACACCATTACTTAAAACAGTCAATATTTAAATGACTTTAACAGTCATTATTTAAAACAGTCGAAATATGGTCAACGTTGGTATAGCGCAGACAAAGAATTAGAGTAACCATTACACTACAAATAAAAACAAAACAAACAAAAAATAAAAATAACATGGTTATGGTAACCCCATCTGATTCATTTTGCTTCACTAATGATGTTATTGGTGGAATATATTACCTCACAAAAATTGCAGTGCACTGATATTGCAAAAAAAAACAAAAAAAAAACAAAAACATTAATATTACACATCCTAAGCTATAAGAAAATTATGGTTAATTATGTTGACGTCATATATAATTATTATGCTAATACTACTGTATATGTTGGATACATTTATATTATATACAACAAGTGAAGATGTATTAGAGATTGACATGTACGCCTATTTTCGGTGTTAAATGTTACCAGCAAATATATGGACGGCAGATGGCGCCACAGAAACACCATCAAGGGCTCCTCAAAGCTCCAAGTGAGTTTAAGAAGTTGCTTCAGCCAAAATCTGTAGTGCATCTATTGAGCAATTTTGTAGTCCTAAAGACGTGTCATACTTGCATAATTACACCCAAAGCAAAACACAAGCTTTTAATGTCGCTGTGTTGGCATTCTTTATTTTCATCGTTTTCAACTAGGTCTAGCCAAGCCTTATGGTAATGTCCGACCAATTTTAATGAACGGCAGCCATTTAAGCGGTCTGGATGCAGACACAGTGCAGCAGTTGCAAGCTGAGCTGCATGCAGTGTTTAACGGGTTTTCTTTCATATCAAATGTAAGCTGAGAAAGGCTGGCTTTTGCCAAGTAAATTTGTGTATGCCCTGTAAGATTCAGAAGATTCATATTGCACAAAATTGACCGTCAATTTATCTTTATCTAAATATACTTGGGTAAAGTTTCTGTCCACCATGTTGATTTTGTTAAAAAAAAAATAAAAAATTTGCAAACTCCTAGACGGTTTGCCGTAATATCACCAAATTTTACTCGGATCATAGTCAGACCATGTTGACTAAGTGTTGTGAAATTCGTGTCAATAGGCAAAATGGTTTTTGTTACAGCTCTGACAAATATGCTCAAATGTGCTCATTCTCCCCTAGACTTTATTGGTCTTTCTGGCTCTGAACTGCTTGTAGTAAAATGTTTTTATAAAGCCTTTTAAAATTACAAACTTTTTGGGACTTTGTGTTGACTTACTTTCTTATTTTATTTCTAAGATGTCCTGTTTATTCACTGCAAGCATGGTGTTAGTCACTCGCAACACTGTTTGCATTTGATGATGTACTCTAAAATATCTATAGAGGAAGCCATGGGCTATGTCATCAGGGCGACATGAGGTGCACCAGGCCCTTTGCATCCTTTCTGCGCCAGTTGTGGTTAATCTAATCAGTTGTGGTAAAACAATAATAATAATAATAATAATAATAACAATAATAATAATAATAATAAACATCACCAAGGCATAGCAATATGCAACTAAAAACGTACATAGTTTTACGTAGTTTTTTCAACTGTACATATTTTTGAATGAAGAAAAATGTTAGAAATTCAGGATTAAATTCAGAAGCAGGATTAAATAATTTTGTGATCATCAATTATCATCAAATCTGATCAAGAATGGGCTTTGCAAGTTTGAAACATTTTTAAGACAGCATGTTAGTAATAAAGCAAGTTCAACATAGTAAAATCACTGTAATTCAACACCAAAGCTGCATGTCAGTACAGTTACAAAAAAAGATATACTTCAATTCTGGTTTGTGGACGTTAAATCAGGTTTATTTTATACATTAACAACTGATATCCATACAGCAGTGGATATTAACATGTATACTGTCACATTTGCCCTGCAAATACAGTGCAAAGTTAAATGCACGCGCTTGCATTAAATGTGCTTTGTGTGTTTGTATGTGTGTGTGTGTGTGTGTGTGTGTGTGTGTGTGTGTGTGTGTGTGTGTTTGTGTGTGAGTGTGAACTTTGTAATGACATTGTTTATGACTCATTATTGCAAAAAGACTTGAATTAACTCCACAACAAATACATCAAATAATCATTGGTAAAGTTCTTACTGTAGTATTTCTCACAAACGTTACGCGAGATCTGCTTCCCTCATGTCTGTCACTGTGCTATTTATCTGATGTGGGGATTTAGGCACATTCTGACCGGCACGTAGGAATGGTGGACAGGGAGAAGTATTTAGAGTGAAAGTTTGTCAGTAAATCTCTTTAAACAAGCTTATAAACACAATGTAAAAAATGAAGAAAAAAAACATGACTAATTCATTCATTTTTGTGTTAAATTTAATAAGAAAATACAATTTATTAGTTTACCAATTATTTATCTATCTGTTAATTTGAACACATAAATTTGGCGCTGGTTTGTTCCTCTATATCAGAGAAGCCCAAAGTAGGGCCCGTGGGCCAAAGCCGGCCTGTTGTAACCTTAAATTTGGCAAACTTTGGTTATTTATTTATTGCTGAGCTAAGTAAAAGGAAACTGAATTAAATGTTTCAATTAAATGTTGCAAATGAATCTGATTTTTTTTTTTAAATGTAAACAATGTCACTCGATGGATAGAGGACTATGAAGAAGACCAAAATAATATATAACCAAATAATTACAATAATTAAAAGAATTATATGGTCTGATCTATTAGCGTGTTTGCAAAGCTTTTACTGTTGTATCGAACATTTCAATATTTAAATCAGAATTCTATTTGAACCCTTTAACCATTTTATTTAAACATTTTGTTAACAGAGTAATTCTGTTTTTTTTTTTCTATTTTAGGTATTCTAAATATTTTGGTATTTTGGATGACAATGATTTAGATTTTGTTCCTAATTGGTATGTGAACAGTGAGGTTACAGTGCAAAAAAACTATTTATTTATTTATAAACTTTTATGCTGCCTATTTTTCACGAAGACTTTTACTTTGAAATGGCTCATGGCTTTCCCTCTAAAACTGTTGTGTCAGTTAACAGCGAAACTTCTCAGCCCATTACTCAAGAAACGTTTAACTTTATAACAGTGTAATAACACGTCCTATTGACCCAAGAGAGTTAAGCGATTGTTTGTAAAGTTTAAAGGCGGCACGCACGTCTATAAACATTAGTCACATGACAGCTGATGTGATCACATGACGGTCATTGTCCCTGTTTAGATTTCATCACGCTCTGCTGTATTTCTGTGTTGATCTGACCGATGGGGTCTCTGTGAGAATGGCTACACTGTGGCTCTTTCTCGGGTTAACGCTGCTGTTCCTCCGTGGAAAAACCGAGGCTCGTCCTGTGGTGAGTTCTTCTGCCTTGTTTAGTGTATTATAAAAGTTTGTTAATAGTAGCTGCTGCAGTTTTGTTTTACAGCTTGTTATTCTTGGCTGTCACTGTTTTTATTCCCTTTTTTATTGCGAATATTATTTAATTCTGTCTTAATCAATTCAGTTAAAGTTAATAATAACAGTTCTTGTTTTAAAAGCAGCTTTAAGGTGCAGATTATTGCATTATAATCAAAATCAGAAAAGTTAAGGTTAGTAGTTACCATACTTAGTTACAAATTACTTTAATTAACTAGTAACTAATAGCTTTTAAAGGTTTAAGTTACATAGTTAACCTGCAGTTATACAGTATATAGGTGATGTCTATGTGCACATCTTCAATGAAGTGTATTTGTGTATCAAGTGTATGCGTTTCACTGTTTTTAAAAAGGAAAACTACAGCAATGAGATCACATCTCACAGAGACCTTTCACTGGATTTCAAGGAAAAGTATTTCAAACAGATTTTAGACCACTTCAATTACAACA